CCTATGACGTCAATGCTTGTTGATAAAAAAAAAAAAAAAGATGCACAAAACTGAATGAAGAATCTCGAACCTAAAACCCGCCTTATATTAATGAGCGAATGTTCCAGCAAAGAACAAGTTATCATTTTACCTCACAAATCAGTGCGATATAAAAATAGACTTTTTTTTGAAAAAAAAAAAAAAAAAAAAAAAATTTCTTGCCTCACTAATTTTTGGAACAATTTCCATTAAATTTTATTAACAGTTCACACGAAAAATATAATAATTTTTTCATATATTAATTTATTTATCGATTCAACTAATTTGTATAAAATGAATGAATTTCTAAAAAGGAAAAAATACTCCAAAGTAACTATTTTGGAGAATTTTTTTTCTTTTTTCTTGCATAAAATTGAACCGCAATATTCCTCTAATTATGCTTTATCTTGTTGCGTTATTGTGCGAATAATGACCACTTATTTTTCCACTCGCATTTTTTTCATTGACATCACTCCCGTCTTTAGAATACAAAATTTTTTTTTTTTTAAATTAAAAAATTCCTACTTTTGTTTAATGTTTCAATTTGAATATATGGGAATTTTTTTTTTATTATTTTAATACTCAGAACACGTTTTTTTCATTTTTGAAAAGTAACTGAATGAAAATGAAAATTGATTTATTTAAAAAAAAAAAGAAAAATTAATTAGGGGTTAAAATAAAAAAAAATTAAAATCAATTAAAAATTTAAACAAAATTTAATATTGAAAGAAATTAATATTAATTAATGAATTAAAATTTCAGAATATATAAAAAAAATGACGAAATTATTTATTCTTTATTTGATTATTTTTTAATCATAGACTTGAATTTTTTTTTTTTTTTTTTTTTTTGTAACTTGAGATTTATTCGTAACAAGTAATGGAACCAAGGCTTTTTGATTTTACAAAGTAAATCAGTTCTGAGTCATAGATTGCTTTATACGATTATCTTTTACGGTATATCTGTTTACGATTTAAGGTGACGAATCAACATATAATAGTGGAAGATTCAGGTTCTGATTTTGTCATAATTTTTTTTTTTCCTAAATATTCATAAAAATTGCAGTTTTTTCTATAAAAAAGGACAATTACTTTCTCCTAGACTTTTTTATAACTAACACACAAAATATATAAATTCTATTTTATGGAAAGTCAAAGGACTCAGTAGAATTTTTTTTTCTTCTTTTTTTCAAAAGCTCTCATAAACTTTTACGATTTCAAGTCATAAAATTCTGCATTTTTTTTTTTTTTGTTAATTTTACGATTATCTCTCCATGAATTTGATTTTCTCGTTTCCATTTTATTGCTATAATTCTCTCTCTCTCTCTATAGGACTTTTTAAAGGACTATTTTGTCAAATTAGATTTTTGATATTAGCAAAAAAAAAATTTTTTATTTTTAAATTACTCAATTTTTTACATTATTTTTTTTTATTATGAAAATTATTTTTTGCTAATATAAAATAAAAATATTTTTTTTTATTTGATAAACATAATAAGATTTTATAAAATAAAAATATTAATTTTTTTTTTATTTGATAAACATAATAAGATTTTATAAAATAAAAATATTAATTTTTTTTTTCTATTAGAAACGTGAGAAATGTTTTGAACTTATAACATATATTTTTTTTATATGTAATTTTTATTTTAACGGTTCAAATGACAAACAATATTTCAAAATACTTAATAGAGAGTGAGATAATTTAATATTTATTATGCAATCATTAAAGATTTATGTGTCTGCAATGATTATTGTACACGTGTTATAAATAATTTTTTTTCACCATTCTAGTGGTGTGATTGTATATATATATTCTATTAACTGTAAATCATGTCTTCCCCATTGCATTAATGAAAAAAAAATTAGTTTTTCTTTTTTGAAGAGAAAAAGAAAGAGAAAAATATATTTAGTGATTATTATTATAAAGGTCTTCTTGTTAATTTGGAAATCTACTTCCGAATTTAAAGGTCGACTGCATTTCGATTTACTTCCTTTATTCATATTTTAATCTTAAAACTTGTCCTTCAGGACCACTTTTGTTAAAAAAATGTCAATTAATTTTTTCTTTCATCTCCTCTCTTAATGATGAGTACCGTTATTTTTTTCATATCAGTAAAATAATATATAGTTATCACTTTAATTTGAAACCAAAAATTTTATTAAACAATATGAATTTTTTTTTTTTTTTTTTTTGATAAAAGATTAAAAATATTTTAATTTATAAAATTGTCAGAATACTTACATTTTGATGCTGGTTCCAGTGGGAGATCTGGAATTTAAAAAAAAATCGAAAAATTTAATTAACAAAGAATAGAATTTTTTTTAAATTTTGATAAAATTTTCTAAAAAAAATTTTTTTAATTTTTACAATGCTTGACAAAATAGTTATTCAATCCAGAGAATAAATTCTATTAATTTTTAATTTTACGTTGAATTTAAAAAAAAATTTTTTTGTATATTATTATTTTTTTTAATATTGTGTTTGTAGTAATTAATTTATTCAATTGTACTATATTTATAACACATGGCAATCTATTGATAAGAGAACAATCAATGTCATTTTAGCGATTTTTTTATAAATATTAATTGTTAACATTCTTTATTGAATGATTTTTTTTTCTTGTAACGCTATCTTCAGTACAATACGATACACATAAATTCATGAGGAGCTGAATGAAATAAATTATTTATCAATTTGTAAAATACAATTGAAAACATTTTCTTCTTCTTCATTTTCTTTCATACTTTTTTTTTCTTTAAATAATGATCAAATAATTAGAACGATTGAACAATCAATCAAAATTATTTCCATCTTTGGAATTGTACAAGTTATTATTATCTTATAAGGAACCCATAATAATAATGAATTATTACGTTAAGAATGTTTCCTTACTTTGTGTGAATATTTAATCATTGTAACTAAAATGATTCCATTGCAACAATTATTTTTCTTTTTAACATAAGAATTTTTTTCTTTTCTTTTTTGTAGTCAACAAACTATTTTTTGGACAACAAAACTGTTTTTAGTAAACTAAATGTTTTTTTTAAGCAACAAAAGTGTTTTTAGTAAGCAAAATTTTTTTTGTAGGCAACAAAACTGTTTTTAGTAAACCAAATCTTTCTTTAGGCAACAAATTTGTTTTTAGTAAGCAAAATGTTTTTTTTAGGCAACAAAATTGTTTTTAGTAAACAAAATGGTTTTTTGGGCAACAAATTTTTGTTTAGTAAGCAAAATGTTTTTTTTAGGCAACAAAATTGTTTTTAGTAAACAAAATGGTTTTTTGGGCAACAAATTTTTGTTTAGTAAATAAAATATTTTTTTAGTTAACAAAACCAGTTTTAGTAAACAGAATTTTCTTTTTAGGCAACAAAATGTTTTTAGTAAGCAAAATTTTCTTTTTAGGCAACAAAATTGTTTTTAGTAAACAAAATGGTTTTTTGGGCAACAAATTTTTGTTTATTAAATAAAATATTTTTTTTAGTTAACAAAACTAGTTTTAGTAAACAAAATGTTCTTTTTAGGCAACAAAATGTTTTTAGTTAACAAAACTAGTTTTAGTAAACAAAATGTTCTTTTTAGGCAACAAAATGTTTTTAGTAATTCAAATATTTCTTTAGGCAACAAATTTGTTTTTAGTAAGCAAAATTTTTTTTTTTAGGCAACAAAACTGTTTTTAGTAAACAAAATGTTCTTTTTAGGCAACAAAATGTTTTTAGTAAGCAAAATGTTCTTTTTAGATAACAAAACTGTTTTTAGTAATTCAAATATTTCTTTAGGCAACAAATTTGTGTTTGGTAAGCAAAATTTTTTTTGTAGGCAACAAAACTGTTTTTAGTATACCAAATCTTTCTTTAGGCAACAAATTTGTTTTTAGTAAACAAAATGGTTTTTTGGGCAACAAATTTTTGTTTATTAAATAAAATATTTTTTTTAGTTAACAAAACTAGTTTTAGTAAACAAAATGTTCTTTTTAGGCAACAAAATATTTTTAGTAAACAAAAGATTCTTTTTAGGCAACAAAACTGTTTTTAGTAAACAAAATGGTTTGACAAGAAAAAAGAAAATTCGATACTTACCCGCTGCTTTTGTGTCACAAATTATTTTTCTCGATATCCTATCGTTGCGAAGATTTAATAACGATTCAACAGATTTTATTTCCGTTTCTTTACGTAATCTTGACCATTGTTTATGTAATGGCTTAATAATTGGATCAGTATGGACCATTTTGTGTAAAATTTTATTCAACAAAATAGTCACAAATTTTTTTTTTTCACTGTTATTTATATGCAGTACATATATATGTATATATAAAACTTCTTTCAATGAAGACCGTTCGATTACTGAACATATATTTAATGTATAATCTTTAAGCGAATACGCGTATATATTGGATTTTCAAAAGAGTTTCAAAGAAACTAATGATAATGATACATGTATATACACACAGCCTCCAATTGTCGATAAGAGGATTCGAATAAAGCTAATTTACCGCAAATATATATGTATATGACCTATTTTATCTATTTAGGTCAAAAGATAAATTTCTGTCGTGAAAGTTCATAGGTAAAGGAAAGGTGTATTTTTTTTTTTTTTTTTTAATTCCAAAAGGGTATTTTGAGAAAAAAAAAAGAATTGCGAAAAAAAATAATTGTTCCGTTTATTACAAATTTATTTTCATGTAAACAAAAGTGATTGCCGAAAGGAATAATGAGAGAGAAAGGGTGATTAATGGGTTGCTAATTTTTTTTGCCTTTTGCTTTTGTTTTTGAATGATAAGATTGTTTTTAAATTTTTTTTACAATTAAGAGCTGCGGAATTTTTTTTTTATTTTAATTTATTATTTTTTTGTTAAATTTTTACTAATTCAAAATTAAGAGAATAAGTCAGAAATTTTTTTTTTTTTAACAAAATTTTATATAAACGATTTATTTTTTCTAATTGAAGTTTTAAAATTATTCATTTCAAATTGATATTTTTTTTCAATTTTTATCTTCAACAATATCTTTATTTATATCTTCATTAATTTCTTCCTTATTATTTTCCATTGATGAAGGAGTAATTCTACGATTTTTTTCAATATTTTTCAATTCTTTTGCCGTCAGACACAATCCTTAGGAAATAGATATATTTTTTTTATTATTTATTTATATTATTTATAAAAATAAAATAAAAAAAATTTATTTTTATAAAATAAAATAAAAATAAAATTAAAAAACTTTTTTTTCTATTTTATTTATAGAAATAAAATTTGTTTACCTTTCAAATTAATTGTACTGTCAAAGGAACAAATAGAATCGCATTTTAATACCGAGGGTTCGGATGATTTTTCATTTAAAAAATTTTTACACCAGGAATTAATTTTTTTTTGTTTCAAATTTTCATCTTCGTCTGAAATATTAAAATTCTACAGTTCATTTAGGTGAGAATTATGTGTCAATTCAAAATTTCGATTTTGAAATAAATTCAAAATTTCATAAAATTTAAAATTAAATGCGTTATTATGTCACAAATAAAAGTTCGAAAAACTTTCTCCTGATAAAATCAATTTGAATTTTATATTTCTATAATTTTTTGAAAATTTTCAATTTAGACATTATTATTATTATTATTATTACTTTTTACTTACTGATTTTGCTAAATCTTTCAAAATCTAGTAAATGTAAATAAATTTTAACAAAAAAAAAAAAATTAATTTTTTCAATAAAAAATTATATAATTTTTAAAAACAATGGAATTCAATTATAAAAAAAATAATAATAATAACTTTTTTCAAATGAAAAAATAAATTGACGTCGTTTCTAAAAATTCATTTTTTGACCTTGACAACTTTCCGGATCCTTTATTTAAAGTAATTTAGAGGATCTGAAACGTACCTTCTTCTGCGGTTGTATAAATTATCCCATTCTGTTTTCGTGTGTTTTGTGTTTTTTCGTTGAAACAAACAACATGCTGTGGATTAGTGTATTTTTCTCTTACATAAAGAGGGGGTTTTATTTTATTCAATAAATCGTTACATTTCATCTCATCATTAAATAAACAAGGTTTAATTGATTTTTTCATTTTCTTTTTTGAACATTTAACATTACAAAATAATTTTTGTTCACAATCATTATTTTTAGAAAATTTCTTTTTCTTTTTTCTTTCCTCTCTATATTTATTACACTCCTTTTTTTGATTATTCATTATTATTCCTTTATCAATTATATAGTAAAAATTAGTAAAAATTAAAGTAAAATTTTAATCATATTATGACTATATGATTATTATGATATCTAATTAGTAAAAATTAATTACATTAAAAATAGAAAAATAATTTAAAAATTAGATGATTACAGTTAAAAATTAATTAATTAATTTTTTTTTAAATTATTACAAGATAACGTACAATGTTTGTAAATGGAAATTGTGTTTAGTAATCAATTTTATATTGACATTGATTTTCGATTTGTGTCATTCTCCTTGAACTATTATAGTACTGATTAATTTTCAGCAAGTAAAATATTATCGTATTTTCTTGCTCACACTTTAGCGCACGTGACTAATCAGATTAAATATAATTTATTTTTTAATTCATAATAAGGGTGTTTTTTTTTTAAATCTATTTTTAATGTATAAATAAATTTGCGAAAGTCGAGTATTTTTTTTTTTTTGTCAAAAAATTGTAATGTATAAATTAATTAATTTTATTAATTAATTTTTGAAATCATTTTTTTTTTAATTTATTGAATTAATAAAAAAAAATTTCTTTTATTTTCACAGATTTTTTGAGGTGAAAAACGTGATCGTAATTTTTTTTTTCCACGACACACAAAACAGGTTATTAACGTGTATTAAATTAACTGATTGTAAATTTATTAATTATTTATGAATTCCTTGCGTGCATTTAAATCACGAGTACGAATAGTAAATATTAAATCTTTTTTGATGAAACTTACATTTAGTGGAATATTTATTTCTGGGGATTTTTGTTTGTTTTTGTTTTTTTTTATTATCAAAATCATTTTCAAAGGTTACTTACTTTTCATATTTTTTTTTATAGGGCAAAAATACTTTTTTTCATTTGTACATTTTTTTTGACGAGAAAATTTTTATTTTAATTTTCAATTTAAATTACTTGAATTTTGTATATGTTTGGCATTTTCAAAATTTTTGACAGTAGAAAAATACACTTTCTTTTTTTTTAACTTAAAATTTATTTATTTTTTTACAAATCATTATTTATATATATATATTGCCATTAAATATTTTTAAATAAATTGAGTATAAAGAAGAAAAAAAAATTAATATTTTTTCAGAAAAAATGTGACAAAAACTTTCAACGAATTGAAAATTAAAGGTATTTACAAACTTCGGTAATTTTAACCTTTTCGAGAAAAAAAAAATAAATTAATGAAATAATTATTAATTAAGATAAAAATCTTCTTTTTTTTCAAAGAATAAAATAAAAATGTCTGGTAAAAAAGGAGACGGAGACAGGACCAAATTATTATCAGGGCAAAAAAAAATGAAAAAGAAAAAAAAATGCATGAAACTTATTAATCGTGAGAATAAAATTTCTGTTTCATCATTGAATGCTACTGGTAATATTGCAACACAATTGTCTGCATTTAAAGAATGTGATCCAAATTATGATGAATATAATCAAGAAAAAATTTTTAATGACTATCAAAACATCAAGAAATTGCTAAATAATCAGGAAGAAATTTATTTCAAACCCCAAATGAAAATTACTCTTTCTCCCAATACTAAATTCAGTACAAGGTCAGGAACCATTCACTGTAATTCGAGAATATTTCCACCATTATCTCGTGGCCTGCAGGTTCTTATATCTATATATTATATTATTATATAATATATAATTATTGCTCTCAATTCGTTACACACACACACACACACTTTTGCGTAATTTCTTTTCAAAATTATTATCTTATCGATTCAACGTGTTTAAAAATTATTATTGTATTTTTATCATAATATAATAAAAAGCAGGTCTTTTTTAAATTAATGATAACTTTAACATGAAGATATAATTGTATTTCATATGACAATATAATTATTACTTTTCACCTTTTTAATAAGTAACAAACATTTCGAAAAAAAAGAAAAAATTACACTATTAATGAATTATCGCAGACAATTCTTTTTTTTGCGATGTGAAAATAATTTTTTTTTTGAAAAAATTTGAAATTATTTTTTTTTATCAGTTAACTATACAAATTTGTACCAAATTTCGTCTCTCTGGGTCAAAATCGCAGAGTTCTAAAAAGGGGGGGATATAAATGCGAAGGGACAAAAAATTATGGTACCGGTTGTCATGGAAACGGTTGCTATAGTATCAGTTACTATAGTATTGGTTACTATGATACCGGTAACTATATGATACCCGTTATTATGGTACCGGTTACTATATAATACCGGAAAATATGGTACCGGTTACTATGGTACCCGTTACTATGGTACAGGTTACTATGGTACCATTTAGTTACTATGGTACAGGTTACTATGGTACCATTTAGTTACTATGGCACCCGTTACTATGGTACCCGTTACTATGGTACCGGTAACTATATGGTACCGGTTACTATGGTACCCGTTACTATGGTACCGGTAACTATATGGTACCGGTTACTATGGTACCCGTTACTATGGTACCGGTAACTATATGGTACCGGTTACTATGGTTACTATGGTACAGGCTACTATGGTTCCGGTTACTATGATACCATTTAGTTACTATGGTACCGGTTACTATGGCACCCGTTACTATGGTACTGGTTACTATTGTACTGGTAACTATATGATACCCGTTATTATGGTACCGGTTAATATATAGTATCGGTTAATATGGCGCTGGTTACTATGGTACCGGTTACTATTGTACTGGTAACTATATGATACCAGTTATTATGGTACCGGTTACTATATATTACCGGTTAATATGGTACCCGTTACTGTGGTACCGGTAACTATATGGTACCGGTTACTATATAGTACTGGTTAATATGGTACCGGTTACTATGATACCAGTAATTATTTGGTATGATTACTATACTATTGGTTACTATGGTACTGGTAACTATATGGTACCCGTTATTATGGTACCGGTTACTGTGGTATCAGTAATTATTTGGTACCAGTTATTATAGTACCGGTTACTATAATACCGGTTACTATAGTATTGGTTTCTGTGGTACTAGTTACTATGGTACCCGTTACTATGGTACCAGTAACTATATGGTACCAGTTATTATATTTTACCGGTTACTATTTGGTACCAGTTATTATGGTACCGGTTACTATGTGGTACCGATTGTTATGGTACCGGTTACTATATGATACCGTTTACTATATGGTACCAGTTATTATGGTACCCGTTTCTATGGTACCGGTTACTATGGTCCCGTTGCTATGGTACTGGTTGTCATGAAACGGTTGCTATGTTAACGATAACCCTTAAAAAGAAGAAAATAATTGTAATTAGTATTTTCTTTTTAATTGACAAAAAGGGTGGACACATTGCAGTGGCAGCTTTCGCAACATCAGGTGTGTTGAAACCAAAATGTTGGAATGAGAAAATAATTGATCAAATTATTAAAGATGGCAACAAGTATTATTGCAAATCAAACAAAGGTATCGTTACGAGCGACAGAAGAGCAGTACAATTTTCCAATTTTAGACGATACGTTAATATTCAAAAAACCCATCAAATTTCATTGTTGATCAAGGAACCTTGTTTTATTGGTAAATTTCGTTCTCAAGATCCAATAATTTTGAATATTGTCAATGCTCTTGAATTTTTTTTTGCAAGACACAATGCCGTTATTCTTACTTCATTTGTTTTAAATATTGCCATTTGGCGTGAAATTAACGAGAACCAGGAGAAATTCTTTATTTTTGATGGACAATCGAGAAATAAATGTTGTCAAGTTGATTGTAAAGAAGGTGCATCACAATTGATGATGGTTGATGATTTAATGAGTGTCTATTTTATAATATTGGAGAAAAGTAAAGTGAAAAATGAATATTTTGTCCTCTATGAAATTAATATTGAACGTGTTCAAAAATTGCCTTCGGCAGGATTAAATGATTCGGATGAGGAATTGTCGCCTGAACCAATTGGATATAAAAATTGGAGTGATTGTCGAGCTGTTTTGCAGGGATTGTATCATATTTATGATGAGAAGGTACCTGTGAATTTGAGAGGTCGAGGGGATTTGACGATAGCATTGGCAGCATTGATCTACTCGAGACTCGTGAATACCGACGAATGGAAACAATCATTTTTTGATGAGATGATGAATCAGGCTCATATCTATTTAATTGATCTGGCGAGAGTGTTGGATAAAAAGTTTGACGATTCGTTTGATCTACAGGTTAATGAATTGATGAGCGATGTGATTCTTGGTAGTTATTTGGTAAAGATCGCGATCTTGGAGAATGTGATTTCAGGTCAGGTGAGAAGCGACGAAGTAACGGTTGAATCGGGGATTTGTGAATTTTTCGAGAAACAAAATTTGGGAATTGTTGAGGTGAACAATCAGTTTTATTCGATTTGGAAAGATGATGCTAGGTACTATTTTCTGGATCCATTCGCCTGTGATGCTGAAGGATTTAGAGTTAATTCTAAAGTGCCGGTTGATCCAGGTGATTCGAATCAGCCAGAAATTCCAATTGTTCCAAAAGATCCCATTGATCCAAAAGATCCAAACGATCTGATTGATCCAAAGGATCTGATTGATCCAAAAGATCCGGTTGATTCAAAAGATCCGATTGATCCAAATGGTTCGAATGATCTAGAAGTTCGAGAAGATTCAAAAGATCCAGAAGATTCAAAGGATCCAGAAGAATCAAAAGACCCAGATGATCCAGTAGAGCAGGAAGCTGAAAATTCCTTGGAAGATTCAAAAGATTTGGAAAGCTACAATCAGGGAAAGGCTTGTGTGATCATGAGCAAGTCGATCAAGGAATTAATTGAGACCCTCATGAGAAATACGAACATGAATGAAAAAGATCCTTTCATCATTCATGGTTTGCAAGTATTGTACATTAAATTATCTCAACAATTGGGTTCTCCTTTTGATAAGACAATATTTCGGGATGATAAACTTATTCCAATTGTTGGTGAAGATTGTGATATTGAGATGAATATTCCTAGAAAACGTTCCACGAGTCCTAAATTTAAAGACGTTGGTGTCGAGTTTCCCGAATTGATGACCAACATCGAGGAGTTCATGATGAAGGAAGATGAACCTCGGACTTGTAATCAAGAACAACTTCAAAATCATTTGATAGGAAAAATTGTGACTCGTCAGAAAGAAAAATCTGATTCTTCTGAATCTGATCAAAAAGAAGAAGCTTCACAAGAATCTAATCAGGAAAAAAAGGAAGAAGATAAAGATCATATAATCAAAGGTTATAAAATAATAAATCCTCATCGTTTGATTCTTCAGGGATCGAAAAATTGTTTGTGGGGAGATTTTCCAAAATCAATGAGAGGACGTCAAGGACTCGTGATGGGAATAATTGCAATCGCCTATGGAAGATTGAAACAACCTGAAAAATGGAGAAATATAGACTTGGATCAGATTATTGATCTTGGACATAAATCATACGAAGATACGATATTATTGATCAAAAAAGGAAGCGATGATGATGATGATGATGGTTCAACCGATGAAGAAGACGATGACGACGATGATGATGATGATGATGATGATGAAACAACCGATGAAGATGATGATTCTATTAATTTAGAAAATTTCGTTCCAAATCATCTAGAAGTTTCAATGCTTCCAGTAAAATTAAAACTTGGCGAAAACACCGTAAAGTTTAAACGTAAAATGAAAATAATTGAAGGTAACGCAAATCCTTTGGCAAATTTAGGAGAAGCATTCGAACGTTATTTTCAACGTCATTCGGAACTTATTCTCGAAAATAAAAAACTTTACTACAGTATTTGGAAGCATGAGGAAAAATTTTATATTTTTAATCCCTATGGAAGTGATGAGGAAGGTTGGAGACTTCGGGAATTTCCAGCATCATTCGTTGTTACAGATACAATTAATGAATTAACTGATTTGTTCTATGGAATCTTAGAATTCAATGATCTTCAATTTTATTTTCATTTCATTGAAGTGGAATCAATACAACCGAATAATAAATACGTGGTTGCAAATCCAACAGAAGTTGATGATGAACATTCTGAAAAGTATTTTACGAAATTTTTGCCAATCACTGATGAGGATTTGTATGAACCGGAAGTGGAGGAAGAAAAACAGAAAGATTCGGACGAAGAGGAAAGCGAGGAAGATGATGAAGACGATGATGATGATGATGAAGATGATGATGATGATGATGATGATGATGATGATGAATATACACTGGAAGAAAAAAAAATTGAACTCGAGGATCCTCTTCAAGAAGCAGTGGAACAAGATCAGCCGGATCCACCAGAAACGTTAAATCTTGCTCTAATCACCGGGGCAATAAAAATAGAAACAGATGATAAAATCAATGAAAAAGAAGAAGAAGATATGAAATACGAGGAATTAAAATACCATTTCTCTCATTGTCAGCCTAATATTCCACCATCGAAGCAAATTTTACATATTCTTCGTGAGGCAAAACAGGCTTCAAAATCAATTCATTCTTTAGTGTCGAAATTTTCAATCAAATCAAAATTAATAACAAACAATGAATCCGCTGATATTGTAGACGTTACGTCATTGGAAATGGGAAACAAGTCAAGATTAATCAAATTGCCACCCAAAAAATATATATTGTCAAGAGTAACTCCAATGGGATTGACGCCAATTCGAGCAATTGACGATGATTTTATTCAAGATGAAGATTTGGATAGAGAGAAAAAAGAAAAATGCCTAAGAGGAAAAAACGAAGAAAATGATCAAGTGTCGGATGAATGTGATATTCCAAAAATTCTTCCATTAGGTCCTGTTATAAGAACACCTTTTATTGATGATTTAGTTTGTCATGAAGAAAATAAGAAGGAATGTAAATTATCAAAACGAGACAAATGTGATTCGATTGTGAAGAAAATTGTTTGTAATGCCGAGGAACTTTTATTGGAAATGCTGTTTCCAGGGATGAAAAATGATGAGCAGGTTAGCTTCATTTATTGCTAGCTTTGGTAATTAATACAATTAATAGCTAATAGATCTGATTAACAGCTTCAATTTTTTACTTTTAATAGGGCGTGACTCATAAAAATCATTAGTTATTTTAAAGAATTATTTTATTAGATAATTATTTTTTAGATAGATCAGATTGGTATTTAAAACATCTAACAATAAATTTATCCATCTAGAGGAATGAAGAAACTGAGATTAAAGAAATCAAAGATCCAGAGAAACAAGAGCCTGAACAAAAAGAACAACATAAAATGGAATTGGAAATTATTGGATTCACAGTAACAGAAGATGATGAACTGGCAACAATTAACGGAAATATGAGTTTGAAAAATCGTCAAGAAACAGTGCAATTTCATTTTAAAACATGTTACTATGCATCAATACTCTGCATAATTGCTAAAATTATCAAAGATGTTGACGAATTTTCCAGTACTATTTTAGATCAATTAATTGTATTAGCCAGTAAAATTTCTGAACAAGTTGGTAAATTACGCTATAAATCTTTACGTTCATTCAATAATATTGAAATTTTCGACATGAAATGTGATGTTAATTTAAAACAAATAAAATACGCTGATCCGGATAATTGGAAAGATGATAATCTAACTAATATGCTAACTTCCTATTTAAATAAAGATCAAACTGGAATTTTGGTATTTGAAAATGCATCATATGCAATTTGGCGAGATAATGATGTATTCTATTTATTCGATCCTTATTCCTGTGATAAAAACGGTCGAATTAGTGATGAGGGTTTTGCGTGTCTTATGAAATTTTGTAATTTATCAACAATGATTGAGAGAATTGGAGAAAATAATCAGGAAACAGTAAATAAAGAATATCGACTGTATTCCCTTTCGATTAGTCACTTGGAGACGAGAAGGGAGAAGAAAAAGAAGAAATGCGATAGGAAAATAAATATCTGTACTGATGAGGTAAAATCCGAGACTGATGATTCTACAGACGAAGAAGCGAATGTTGTTGCAGAAGTAAAATATTCACTAATAGAACTTGTCGATTGGGTGAAAAATGAGAGGACAAATATAAATCCATATGATATGAATCAATTGGGATTTATTGGTATTAAAAATTATAATGCATCTGCTTTTGAAGTAACGGTTGTTGAGAATGATATAACAAGACCTGAATTAGCACCTTTTAAAAAGCAAAATGATCAAATGGTAAGAACAAAAATCTATGATCGTAGATTCAAAGAACATTGCTATCTACTTGAACCAATTGATCTTTGTGTTATGGGATGGTCATGTATTCATGATCCAATTACATGGAGTGTGAAAACAGTGAAAGGATTGTACGAAGCAAGTCGAGATTATGCTTTTGATAGTTTATTAGCTTTTGAAGATACAACAGTTACTGAAATGACTGACGGTCTTCTCATGATGTTCAACATTGCCAATTATACATTTCGAGTTGTTTTTGGTCCCATTCGTAAAGGTTTGTATTTTTTTTCAAAAATTTAGAAAATTTTCTTCTAATTTGAAATTTTTGTTTTTCAAAGGTAAATTGTACGCAATCGAAGGTTGGAATCTGGCAATGTCATTGAAAAAAATATTTGAAACGACAATTTACACTGGTGGTATTATAATCTGTGATAGAAAGCACATTGGAGTGATGAGAAAGGATAAAAATTATTTTGCCTGGTGGGCTGTTGAGAGGGGTAAAAATTTACGATTCATAACTAGTGAAGATTTTGAAGAATTTTTGAAATTGATTATTCAAGAAATTGGCATTATTGAAGAAATTGAATTCTCCATGAGAATTATAACAATTTCCTATGCATTAAAATTAGAACCAGATTATTGTGATACAACAGGAATGCATGAGAATTTAATGCCATCTTGTTCATTGGTTCAGATACATAAAAATAATGATGATGATTTTGATAAAATTGAAGATATATTTCGTCCACTTGATTTGTTGGTAAAAACAAATTTATTATTTGCAAGTGTTGCCTTAAAGGATAGAAATTTGATAAGGGAACCAAATGTAAAACGATGCTATTTTGTTGCACTTTTGAGTATATTGATGAAACGTGATATTATTCAAAATCCCACTAAGGGAATGATTGATCGTGTTATTGAGGGTGGTGAAAATTTGTACAAGAATTTTTATGATCCAAAATATCATTCTGAACATATTTTGAAAAATTTTAAATGTTTGGGAAGAATTTTTGATTTTCGTGATTGTGCCTCTTCGTTAGTGGAATTAAAACATAAAGGTATTGTTTTTCTTTTTTTTTTGAAATTTTTTACTTAAAAATTCTACTACCGTGAAGATTATCTAATTTTTTTTTAGGAACCAATAATTTCTTTATGGCGGTTAGAAAAAAATTGAGAATTCATTTTAAAACCCGTACGGATGGAATTATACAGTTAACGAATTGTTGCTATGGTTTTTGGTATTCGAGATCAACTAATAGGTACTATTATCTCGATCCTTATGCTTGTAATGAAAATGGAAAGAAATCATCAACTGGAAGAGGTTGTCTCTTCATTTGCTCGAAAATATGTGATATGGTTCATCATATGAATTTGAATAAATACGAAGGTACGAGTGGATTTTTCATTCATGATATTCACATTGAAACGGTGAAGGAATTAGCCGAGGAAGATCCAAGTCGAGGTTTTAAGGAAGATCCAATTTGGATTTATCTTGATATTCATTGGAGTTATAGCCATCGGCAAAAAAAGAAGAAAAAACAAACAGAAATATTTTGGAGACACTATACAATGGAAATTCCAAATTTGATTTATTCCCTATGGGGTACAATTGGTGCATTTGATTGTAAATTTGGTTCGAGAGTTGGTAAAAATCAAGCTGGAATTTGTTGTGCAATTTTGGCAATGCAAGATTTGTGTCATCCCTCGCAATGGTGTTCGGGAATTTTGGATTCGGCTGTGATTTACGGTGATTGTTATTATGCAGAGAGTGAGAAAAATTTTGATAAATGTTGCATGTATCAAAATCATTTTAAACTTCAACCTTGTTTGAAAATTACACCCCATATTTGGAGAATTAAATTCAAAACGAATTTTTGTGGTATTTTATATGGAAACATGTCATTGGCTGATGTGGTAAAATTAGCATTCGATGAATCATCGAATCTATTGATTGAATGTAACACAATTGTTTTGGCAGTTTTTAACAAAGATGATGATTTCTTTGTAATTGATACACAATGGATTGGTCCACCTATTTTTCAACGAAATCATGGATCTATTTATTTATTGCGATGTAAAACTTTTGATAGTTTAATTTACAGTCTCATAAAAATTTTAAATACAAATCAAAAACTTGAAATTCGTGTAACACCGGTTGAAATAAATTTCTCACAAGGTGGGAGAATTTTGAAAGATAGAAAAGAATTTTCAACTGTTCGACAATTGCCAGGTGAAATAAGAATTGGTGGGAATTTTATACCAGGTAGCGAAATTGTTCCAGCGGTGGATAATTATTGGGAATTCAATAGAAATTTAACATTGGCAATGAAATACGGTGATTTATTAGAGAATCTTCCAATTGATTATCTAAAGACTGAATTCAATGAAGAGAAATTGAATAATTTTTTGATAAGATTTGAAAATGATGAAAAAATTTTTGATGATGAAAGAATTGTAAATTTAAAATCGATAAAATCTGATTGTGATTTTGGTGATTATCCAAAATTAGTGGATTTTGTTGGTACAAGTGGAAATAGTGATAAGAATTTAATGAGGAAATTGAACGTTAATAAAGGATTTACATTGGCAAAACCGGTTGATTGTAACGAACAACCTAGTTTCATTTTAGAAGAGAGTCAAAACAGGTTTAATATGAAAACAAAAGAAATGCGACTTAGAAAATTTAAAAATTATAAACATCGTATTCCATCGGATGAGAATAGTGGTGAACAGGATAATGATAATAATAATAAAGATTTAGGTCAAGAGGAAACTGAAAATGCTGATGATTAGCCGGAAAATGTAGCCAATTTTTTATAGAAAGGAAAAATTTTTTGGAACTTTTCATTTTTAAAATTTTATGATAAAATCCATAGTGAGAATAATTTGGACATAATATAATTCGAATGATAATGATAAAATTTGAAATAATTTAGGATAAAAAAATTTTTTGCCTGAAAATAATGTCTATAAAAATATCTGCGGCAAATTTTTTTTTTTTCTTAGGTGCAAAATAAAAGCTACTTACCTTGGAATGTTTGATGATAATTTTATGCTCGCCTTTTTTTTTTTTTTTTTTTTTATATATAAAAGAGGATACAAAGGTAATGAATTATCGTTTGTGTGGTGTACCAAATGAAATATTAACTGTTTTCCTATTTTTATTTTCCTTTAAACATAGATGGGAAATAATTATACAACTGTTGTATAGGACGGAGAACGAGACTTCAGGCAAGCGTTATAAGCTTCTGCTGCATATATAATATAAAAGTACATCGAGATGATTTATTACTTTATAAAATATGAATATTACAATGAGACAATATAATTAAAAGTTGCCTGATATCACGTTTATTATACATATAGTATTACAGATGTACATATTATGGAAAAAAATAGAGATTTTTTTTTCTCATTATCCTAGAGCAACTAAAACAATAGAAATTTTTTTTTTGTTTTAATAAACGCAAATCTTCGAGTTATTATTTTACGGTATAAATAATTTTTTTTGTTTATTAATATTGCATGAATTGTTTTCGATAAATAATTATTTAAAAAAAAAAATTTAATTAAAAAATATAAAATTTTTCAATTCAATTCAAAAAAATTAAAAATTTTAAAATTAAAAAAAAATTTAAAAATAAATACTGATAATTATTAAATAAATTAATAATAATGCAAGATTTAAAATTTCAAAAAAGTAAAATAATTAAAAAAAAACTCTTTTTTTTTGAATTACAAAAATATTAAATTAATTAATGTAAAAATATTTTAAAAAATACGAAAAAAAAATTTTTAATTCAAGACTATAAAAAAAAATTAAATTTATGAATACAATTATAATTATGTAAATAAAACAAAAAGGTATTTTTTAATACAAAAATTAAATTCATGAAATAAATTATTTAAATGTAAAAAAAAAAACTATAAATATCGTTGGTAAAAATGCGTTAAAAAGGAAGTTTTCTAAATGTGTAAAAAAATTTTATAAAAAATGGAATATCGAAAAGGTTTACAAACTAGTCTTACTAATAATGACTTATTTCTAAATTCTTTTTTTTTATACCTGCAATAAACAGGTACAATGTATACGTTTAGCTTTTTGTTAAAACAATGAGGCAATAGTTTTATAATTTGTTAAAAAATTTGTTTACAATTTGCTTGTAATTTGCAAATTATTTTAAAAATTGTTTGAAAATTTTTTTACAAATTGTTCGAAAATGTTTACAAATTTAAAAATTGTTTACAAATTGTTCGAAAATGTTTACGGTTTACAAATTTTTTACAAATTGTTTACAAATTGTTTTTCAATATATTTCATAAAATGTTCATTTCGATAAATATTTTTAATTTTTTTAATGAAAATTCTTAAAATATGTTTCTTTTAATTAAGTACTGAGTTCACGCTTAATTCCTATTTTAGAAATATGTTTCTTATTTATTTATTCATAAATTGATTTATAAATAAATAAATATTTTTCTTAATAGCATTTATCTTTATACTACGGTAACACAATGTTTTATTGTATTATTCATGTCAATTTAACTTCAATTTAATTTCAAATTTTATTTTAGTTTGAATTTTTTTTTCTCTTTTTTAATTTGGTTTCAATTTTTTCTCTATTTGCAATTTGATTTTAATTCATTTTTTGTGTTTTCTTTTGTAATTTGTTTTTTATTTTCCAATTCATTTCAATTTTCGAATTAATTTTCAATATTATTTTAATATTTTTCGTTTTTTTCTTTTTTTTTTGTCTTTAATTTCATTTCTGGTATTAATGTAGTTTAAATTAACATAAATTACTGCACATCATATTAAATTCAATTTTTGTTCGTTTTTTTTTTTTTTTTTGTTGTCTTTGTATTGATATTTTTTTTCGGCATCTCTTGGTTTGTGCTGAATCACGTACTTACAAAAAAAAAGAAAAAAAAAAACTGCACCATTCACAAAAATCAACATCAATAATTATTATAATTATTTTATAGAAATCTCTGTAAAACTAGAGACTTAAATTCCTGTAGAGATCACTGTTGTGTATTGAATAAGACTATTTTGTTGGAGTTACTTCTTCGGTCTCGGGTTTTGTATACAAAATTTCTGCATATTCTGTTTTGTCATCGTTGACACGAATCGTTCCTTCCTGTGGCACTTGTTGTTGAGTTAGATCAAGTTCCGCATAAACTAAACCCTCTTTTCCACTTTTGCCACTTTCATTCGTCATCTCCAGTGTTTGATGCTGAAATAAAAAAATTTATTTTAAAAATTATTTTTTTTATTTTTGCTAATTTTTTTTTGTAATTTTTCAGATTTTTAAAATATTTCGGAATAAATTTAAAAAACAATTTTGAAAATTATTTTCCAATTTTTCAAACTGATAAAAATTAAAAAAAAAAAATGAGTTTGAAAAATTGACTCGATTTATCATGATTCAATCGAAGCTTTAATTTGTAACAATTAAAGTTTCCGACATATATATATATATATTGAATTTATGAGTCTACTTTTGAAGAACTCGCGAATTTGTGAAAAACTTTATTCTTCATTGGCAGGTGTAATATCGACTATCTTGAGATCATAAATCATAAATCTTATATATAATATCATTTTAATTCATGTAAATTACAGGATGACAGGACAACGTGACCGCATGGTTGAAAAAAAAAATTTGATACCAAAGCAATATACTCTATAAAGTTTTAAACGAGGTCACGTTATAATATTGAAATAATTATTAATTATAGTTATAATCATTTTAATGAGACTATTTTTTTTTTTTTTTTTTTTTTTTTAATTAAACGCGTGAATGTGATAGATTTCTCCTTATATTATTAAATATATACAATTTTGCAAATTAATTAAAAAAATTAATATTGAATTTTTTTCTAAATTACACAATAAAATTGTTATTCAATTTTCTGAATTTTTATTCTATTTTCTAAATTTTTTTATTATATTTTTCTGAATTTTTATTCTATTTTCTAAATTTTTTATTCTATTTTCTAAATTTTTTTATTATATTTTTCTGAATTTTTATTCTATTTTCTAAATTTTTTTATTATATTTTTCTGAATTTTTATTCTATTTTCTAAATTTTTTATTCTATTTTCTAAATTTTTTTATTATATTTTTCTGAATTTTTATTCTATTTTCTAAATTTTTTTATTCTATTTTCTAAATTTGTTATATAAAATTGAAAATTTAAATTTAATCAATTATTTTATAATTTATTCAAATGTATAAAGAAATAGAAAAAAATATTCAAATTCACATTGAATATTTTTATTTTTAACGATATAGATTGTTCGAAAATGATTAGAAGTGATGACAAAAAAAAAAAAAATTATTAAATGTAAAATAGTCGCGTGACATTTTGTCACATGTTGAGGAAATTAGCAGTTTTTTTTTTCTTTAAATATATATTAAATTTAAATTAATTATTAATTAATCATTAATTAATTTAAATTTTTTTTACCTTTTCGTCATCAACGGTGACATTTGTTCTCACTGTGTCGGTATCGGCACCGGAAACTTTGTCCTTGTTACGTTTGAAAAGTTGTGAGAATGTGATTTTTGGTCGTCGTCGTCGTCCTGATGAATTGTCAACTTCACTTCGGGAATATCGGCCAGCACTTTCTGTGTCGCTTCTAATTTTGCAAATAATCATCATTTATTATTTTTCTAATTTTGTCAATTTTTTCAATTCTTATAGTTTTTCTTCTATTTCTAATAAAAATTATAAATTATAATTTTTTATAATTTTTGCATTTAATATTTATCACACACGCGTGTATTAATTATTTTCAACAAATGTCAAAATTTAATAATTGAAAAATAATAAAATTCATTAATTAATTATTATTTCTTTATCGCTGGCAATGATAAATATATATTATTTATTATAAATAATATTTAAATTCTATTCAAGAAAATAATAAATTGTGTTTAAAATTTTTTTTTTTTTTTTTGCTTTATATACAAAGTGAAAATAAACTAAAATTATAAAAATTAAAATATTGCTGTACATTATCAATAAAAGTGGATAAAATAAATTTTTTTTTCTCCTTTACCAGAAAAAATATTCTGTACAAAAAATTTATTTTATTTTAGAAAAATAAAAAAAAAACTAGAAATTTTTCCTAAAAAAAAATTTTGTTATATATTTTTTTTTTAATGAACAATTAATATTATTTTAATAAACTAAAATAAAACACAAAGCAGACTTTACAAACTTGACATTGTAAGCATTTGTAAAAAAAAAAAATGAAAAGTAACATGCTTTTTGACATTTTGCAATTTTTTTTTTAAATCAGCATGCTTTTTTATCATTATTATTATTTTTTTTTTTTGAAAATAGCTCTGAAAATTAAAACAAAAATGACAGTAATTTTTTATCATTAAATTCATTATATAATACTTACACCAATCAGTTGGGTCTCTCATAGTCTCTCTTTTGTTTATAAAATTAACAATTTCAACATTTACAGAAATCAAGTTCTAATTAAATACTTAGCGCTATTTACAATGCATGTGTCTTTTTTTTCAAATTTAATATTTTAAAATTGAAAAATTTAAATAAAATAAAAAATTCAATAAAATGGACAAAATTTAATGAAATTGAAAATAATTAACTATTCTATTATTAACTATTTTTATTTCATATGAAAAGTTAAAAACACTTTTAGAAAAAATTTTCAAAAACATTTTAAATTAATTAATTTTTAAAAAAATTTTAAAAAATGTAATTTTTAATATTTTTATTATATAAAATAATTTTTTTATATTATTATTTGAATTAATTATGTAATTTTATAACTAATTATGTGATTTATTTGTAATCATGCAATTTGTTAATAATTATAAATTAGTGTTTTTTGTGTTATTAATTTTGAAATTAATATATGTGATTTTTTTTTTAATGAATTATTAATATAAAAAAAAATATTAAACACCGATTGAAAAATTTTATTTTTTAGAATTTCTTTTATAATTATTTTTAAGAAAAATTAAGAATTAATTATTATTTGAATGAAATTATTAATGAACTATTTCTTTAATACCAAAAAAATATCAAAATTAAAAAATTAGATAAATAAAATAAAAATTAATTTGAAAAAAAAAGAAAATGATTTCGTAAAAATGATTTTGTAGAAAAAAAAACTAATTTATTAATATTGTGTGATGGAAAACTGATTGAAAATTGCAATGCAAATTAAAGTGCCACTAGAAAGCAATGAAAAAACAAATTTAAATTCAAGACATTTCTAGGCGAAAAGCACACGTGAGAAAGGCAAAAAACAAAAAAAAAAAAAAAAAAAAAAAAACTTTTTATTAAAGGATAAAGTGGATGACTGCCAAACCAGTATTGATTTATTTTTTCCCCAATATATTTTTGTGCATAAAATTTACAAAAAAGCTGAAACTACTTTTTTCTAATTCTTTGTAAATAAAATATAACAATACCTCTCGAAGGTTTTTTTTTTTTGGGAAAAAAATTAATGTAACTTTTATTTTCTTTCTCTTTGAAAATTGTTTTTTTTTTAAATTTTTGTTATAATTTTTTTCGTCTAAATTAAATTTTTTTTCAACTAATCTGAAATAATTTCTTTTTTTGAAGGAAAATTTTTTAAAGAAACACATTTTTCAAAGTTGAATAATTTTCATCTGTTAATAGAAAAAATATTTCCTTTGGGAATGAGAAAAATTTTCTTATAATCAATAGAATCGTTTTCTGTGATTGAATTATTATTAAATATATAAAAAGTAAAGAAATTTTTCTTAAAAAAAAAAAAATTCAAGAGGTATCCATTCCCTTAGTTTAATAGCGTTTCATTAAAGCAAGCCACGTAGCAAAAGCAAATATATAGAAAATAGAAACGACGAGCAGTGCGTGACCAGTCGATTGCAATGCGCACGAAACTTAAAAAAAAAAAAAATTCTATTATATAGAACAAAAAAAAAAAAGAGAGAAAAATAAAAAGTGCTCCTTGCCTTCGCCCATTGGTATCATCTGTTTTTGGTTTGTGGAAGCGAAGTAGATTAACGCTCGCTGCTGGATCCGCTAAGTCTCTGAAAATTGTGCGAGTCATGCGAAAAAAAAACTAATCTATAGTCTTAAAAAAGTTAATATTGATTATATCAAATAAAAAAAAAAAAAATGTCAAGCAAGTTTTTTTATTAGTTACGAAAAATGTGCTCGTAATTATTTTAAATCAAAAAAGAAAAAAATAATAATCAAACGGACACAAATTCTCTCAAAAAAAAAATCAAATAAATAATTATTACTCACGATTCACCAATGTTCCTCGATGTTCTACCACCTGTAATAAATTATATTTTATTTATTTTTTCCGTTTGCTTAAATAAAATTCAAGTTTTCCTTTTTTTAAATAAAATTAATTTTGGCGAGGAATTTTACTAAAAATAAAAAAAAATTAAGAGTAAAAAATCAAATTGTATTTAAAACAAATGTTTTATTTCAAAAATCATATAATACCTAAGTATAATATCATAGCGATGAATGAACTTATAATTATTACATACAGCTCTCTATATATTAGTTTTTTTTTCATTTGAATTCTTAGATTAACTCTCGCCTTATCGAGTTTGTATCTACAAATTACAGATACAAAAAAAAATGCTTTTACCCTTTCATTCGTGTTAACATGTTCGCTTACCTATCACTCCAATAATAATAATCGTTCAAAAAATTTTTTTTTTTTTTTTAAATCTAAAAAGCGATTTCCGAACGAGTCTTATAAAAACTAATATTATATATAAATATATGAAAAAAACAGATAAAAAAAATTGCGGATTTCGCTTAGCCCTTCGGGTTAACGATTATTTTTTAAATTCTAAGTCTTGAAAATAATAAACATACGGGTTCGATAAAAAAAAAATATTTTCTGATCGAACTATGTTGACTATAAAATAATTCTAATTATAAATTACTGATTAGAATTCTCTAATTAGAATTAAAACGGTAAAGTCATTTTTCCCAACAAATTATTAAAAAAAACGAAAATTTGATTTTGAAGTTTGAAAATAATAAACGAACCAGTATGTTTATTTTAAACTATAATTAAAAAAAAAGTGATTATGATTTCTGTCCCTGAACTAGTTATGTATATATATATATATTTATATTTATGTATAAAAAGTAAAAATTGGAATTTAGGTGAATTTTGCGTGACAAAAAAAAATGTAATTATTTTTGAGAGAACACCAAATAATTTAAAGTAATTGTTATTATCTATGCTTATTATTAACATAAATATATATATATTTTTTTTATATTTATATATTTATATACTCCATTGTATGGCCAACGATCATGCTTTATCTTTTTTAAATATATTATATAAGTCATCCTTCCGATGTATATACGAGTTTTACAAACTTTCGTTATTAAAAGCCCGCGAGTTACGAGCTTTTTTTGTATTTTTTTTTTTTTTTTTTTTTTTTTTTTTCATCATCATCATCTAAATGTCAAAAGGAATTGACTGGACACGCGCCTTTAAGTTTACGAATAAAAGCATAACGTCGTAAGCATGACCATCGAATGTTAAGTAATTAGTGTTTACAATAATAGATAAAAATCAATTACAAAATAAGTAATATAATATCAATTACCACAATAAATTTTTTTTTTTTGTACATTAAACGTATCCTGCGTAAAGTATTTTTTTTTAACGGTTTGTATTTTTGTATCTCATTTTATTAATATTTAATTTAACGGATTTTTTGGGGGGAAAAAAATGCGAGTATTGGCAGTGATTTTGGACCTTTTTGTATCGAAAAATTCCTTGAGAAAAAACTTATCGCGCGTTTTATTTTTAAAAAGTAGAATGTTCATTGTCCAGTTTTGTATTTTGATGTTTTTCATCTCAGACTTTTTTTTTTTTGTTATTTTATCATAAATTTTTATTTTTAAAGACGGTTTTTAAAATTCTAAATTTGAGATACAATTTCCGTGTCTTAAATAGTGTTTGTTTTTTTTAAAATTATTTTCTTAGACTTTATTTTATATAAGATTGATATTCAGATACGAAGATGCGAAATTTTTTTTTTTCAATGGCTATAAACAACATCCTGATTGTGAATACGTTACAAATACCTATTTGGTAATTAACACTCACATATTATATATATATCTATATTTTTTGTAGTGTGCTATGCACATTACACGTTGTTGAATTAATCATTAACTTTTTTTTTATTCTTTTTTTTTTAAGTAAAACATCACTCTGATTCAAATAGTGTTCTTTTTCTCAAAAAGATTTGAGAGACAGATAACGACAGGTCTCTGGTACTTGTGATTACAAAATTGTTGAAATAAAATTTTAACAAGATGACCAAGTACACGGGACACAGTATATATCATATTTTTTTTTTTTTTCAATCTCATATCGTAGTATTTATAATATTTTAATATTTATATATTTATATATATATTCAATATACAACACGCAGTAATAATGGAAAATTTAATTGCCGGCGAATTTGTTAAATCGAAAGCAAATTTGTCGACAATTATTTTCCATATATCTCATTCGTTTTTTTTCTTTTTTATTTTATATATATATATATAAAAAAAAGGTGTGTGAAATCAAAATTCTTTGTCTAAATAATAGAAGGGGATTAAAAAAAAAAGAAGTGCACAAAAATTGAGAAATTTGAAACTAATCGAAGGTGTGTCCTCTTACGTCATCTTTTTTCGTTTTTTTTTTTTTTTTTAACTGCAGCTATAAGTAAAAATTCACCTGTACAAAAGTACTTATTGTCGAAGGTAATAAGAAATACAAAAAGCTCACGGACTTCTTTTTTTAGTTTTGTTTTAATTTAAACCCGATCGTCCTTTTTTGGCGTTACAGGCAATAAATAAATCATTATATCGAGCGGTGCAAAAAAAAATTCGAAAAATCGTTAATACTAATATTAATCTATATGCTATTTTATTAAAAACAAAACAAAATCTTTTTTTTTTATAATAAATTTTTTGTGCAACTAATTAATAACTTATGTTCTAGAGAGATTCGAAATATGAGACGGTTTTTTTTTTGCGTTAATCACACTAAGTTATAGAAAATTGGATATAGCTGCAAAGTGATGAAAAATTTAGTTTTTCAAACAAACAAACAAAAAAAAAATTGATAAACATTTTATCAAATAAAGGAGATATAATTATTTTCAATAGAAAATTTTTTTTTTTTTAAGTTATAAAAAGGCGAGAGAGAGAAAAAGTCTTTTTTTGCATTAAGAGGCAAAAATCCTCTTTCGAAAGCTATCTTATGGAATGTATCTATGGTTAGGTTTTTCTTTCGCTTCTGTAAACCTAAAACAAACATCGATTTTTTTTCCCATTCTTTTTGAATATAATTTTGATTTTTCAAAAATTTTTACATTTTCTTTGGATTCAAATTTAAGTAATTTTCCGTATAGAAAAAATTTTTTTCATTTGAAAAAAATGTGATTTTTGTTAAAAAAAAAAAAAATAAAATATCAAAAAATCTGATTATATTCAAAATTGGGAAAATGTAGAAAAAATTTTCGATATTGCGTATGTTTCCCTATAGAAGTCGTTACAAAAATTTAACTATTTTTTTTTTTAGTTTAGTTTAGTGCTATTTAAATTTCTTACAAATTGCAAAAAGGTAAGAGTTGTATACGTTAAAAAGTTTTTTTTTTTTTTAATTGTGTAAAATCTAATTACGATTCATCGAAAAATCGTAATACGATTTGACAAAAAAATTGAAAGATTCTTTTTCTTCATAGTTTCAAAAATCTTTCATTTTTCAACTAAGAGAGAATTTTTCGACGAATTTTAAATTTACCCGATTTATTTACCCCCTTTCCCTATTATTATTATTATTATTATTATAATTATTATTATTATTATAATTATATCATATCGTCGAAAAACTGCAAGTAGTTTTTTTATTCTTTACAAATCTGTGTTAATACTTAAGTTTAATTTAACTAAATTATAGTTAAGGAAAGACCACGAAAGTCTCCGCACAATGTGGCGTGATGTCTTTTTCTCTTTTAACTATTTACATGTTCACGAATTGACGAAAAAAAAGAATTAGAGAAAAAAATTTACGTTCGGCTGCTTCGATTTTTCTATTTTCTCAATTCTTTTCTTTTGCATCATTATTTATCATCATGTCGTCATGTTGAAAGAAAAATTAATTAACTTCTCACACCCATGGTATGTACACTGTTTTTACTAAAAAAAAAAAAATAATTCTTTGAAAAAAAAATGTACTAGTGAATCGTAACAGACGAACGTAATTGCTGATCAAGAGAAATTCAAAATCACGACGGATGCCAATTAAAAAAAAAAAAAAAAAAAAAAAAAAAAAAACAATTATCAAAATATTAAAAAAAAATTTATAGAAAAGAAAAAAATTTCTTTTGGGCATTTTTTTTTGTCTATCAGCAATTTTGAAACGTCGTCACTGACTGGAGATAAAAAAAAAACAAACAAACAAAAAAAATTATTAAAAAAAAATTGTTGATTTTTAAACTGGCGTATCCGTTTTTTCGTCCTTTTTGTGCTTCATATCAGCACGTCCGTTGATGTACTCGTTGCTCGCGTGAATTGGATTCTCTTGGCCACCATGTGGGATTTTCTCGTTTTTGATGTAGGGGGAATCTTCGTGGTCTTCGTCATCATCACCGGGCGTAATATGCGCCTCACTTCCAGCGCCAACACCACCAGCAGCTTCTTCATCTCCACGGCGTCTCGCTGTAACAAGCATTGCCACGATCGGTCAAGGCACAAGTGTGGTTTTTTTGTTTTTTTTTTTTGTTTTTTTTTTCAATTAAAAATTAGAAACAAAATTATTAATTTTTATCACAAAATTTTTTTAGTAACCAAAATTAGTATTAACAGTGAAAAAATAATTTACAAAAAATTTGCGAGGAACAATATTTGTCAAAGCATTTATTTCGATTTTTAAATTTTTTATTCTAAAAAATTTTTTATTTTATTTTTTTTATTCTAGATTAAATTAAATTTTATTTATAAATTACATTTAAATAATTGCGAAAATTTTATAGAGAAATAAATACTTTGACGATTTTTTAGTTTTGATTTTTGTCCTTGGAAAATAATAATTAGAAATGAGAAAAATTTTTAAACACAATTTTTTTATATATATATATAGTGCAAAAGATGAAAATGATTTGGTTGCACTTTGTTAGAACATCATTTAGGAAAATTACTGTTTTTCCAATAAATAAAAAATTAATTTTTTTCAGTGATGACAAAAATTCTTACCATGTGAAAAAGCACATTCATGTAATATAAAAATGCATGCTCTTTTTTGCTTACCCCCCCGCAAAAAAAAAAATAAAAAATTTTTTGAGAAGTTTTTAACTCTCCTTAGATGAAAAATGATTTTAAAAAATTGATTTTTTTTGTAACCACGATTCTAACGAAAATAGGAAAAGAATTGAAGAAGAGAAATTTATTTTATTCGAAATAATCGATTAATAAAAAAAGGGCGGTGTTTCAATTTGCTTCTTACCTCCAAAAGGAAAAACACCAACCGTAGAATTTTTTAATTTAAAAATAATAAAAAAAATTAAAATTCCATTTTTTGGTACAAATAAAAAAAAAAATATTGGTTAAAATAATAATTTAAAAAATTTTTTAATACTGATAATTTATCCTGATTTTTTGAAAACTTTTCGAAAATTAATACACTTGCAACAGATTAATATTGGAAAAAATTAATTAACTTGTTTAGAATACTGAAAACATGTTAATATTTTTTTTTTTCAGTAATATTTGTTAGAAATTATTTGAAAGCATTAATATTAATTAATTAGTGAATATATTAACAGTTGTTAATAAAGATTAATAAGTAATGAGTAAATTAATTAAAATGTTACAATGAATATACATTGAGAATTTATAAATAATTAATGAGAAATTGGAAATTCAGTTTTAAATTTTTTATAAAGATAACATTTTTTGTAAATTATTAAAAATTAATTTAAAAAAAATTAAAAAAAAGTTTTTAATTTTTTATAAAGATAAAATTTTTTGTAAATTATTAAAAATTAATTAAAAAAAAAAAAAATTGGATAATAAAATCCTAAATTGAAGTGAAATAAAGAAAAAATTTTCTAAATTACAAAATAAAAATAGTAATTAAAAATAAAAACAAAAATAAAAATAAAATAAAAATAAAATTGAATATTAATTAATAAAAAGGGAAAAAAATCTTTAAGAAAACATTAAAGGAAATAAGTATAGCAAAAATGAAATGAAAAAAGTAAAATGTATCAAATAGATGATTCAGTTATTGTATTAGTTTCTGTATTGTATTCTCATCAGTAGTTACTGTATGATTCTATATATATATATATATATATATATATATATTGGAAGGTGAATCAGTTTATCCATTTGTCCAAAAGCTGCTGAATAGAGCACTAATCAGTATGATAAACAGATTGACTTATTGTAACATTCACAGGCATTTCATTGGCACTAAAACGTATCAGTCGAAGCGTATGAGAATTGTGAGTAAATGTAAAGCAACTTGATCATGATGATGTGGCGCATCTATTCAACAACAATATTGCTTCTAATCAACATTGCCGATAGAATAGAAATATAAAGCGAGAATTTCGAATCATGCTTGAATTATTAGATAATATTAAAATGAAATTTAATTTAAAAATTTGATGTTCGATAATTGAAAAATTAAATTAAAAAAAAAAAATTCAATTCGAAGTGGTCCACACTTGCCTTCGCCGATAACGGTTGCTTGTTACTCTTTTTTCAGGACAATTTTTTTTTTTCTATCTCGAATCGTCGTCCGTTGTTTCATTTGTTTTTCAATTATACAAGTACCTGATTAGTACATGCAGAATAATTGTATATAAATAAAGAAAATATAAGCTATATTAAGAGAAGCATGCATCACATTCTTCATTCTATTTTCGACGTTTTCTTTTTTTTTTGGAAATTGATCTACGGCTATTATTTTTCCTCTTGGCGCAAGTTGCGAGGTAGTAGAAAATGCAAAATAAATCCTCAGAAACACACCGTTTCGAATTGTTTACGACGAAGGTTATTGCGATAAGTTTTCTTTTCTCTCAAAACTTGAGATTAATTATTCAATGCAATTTTTGGGTGAAACTTTCGTTTTTTTTTTTTTTTTTTTTTACTTTTTACGGGAAAAAAATTTAGAAAACAAATTTTGATGAAAAAAATTGAATTTTTTGTTTTTATTAATTATTAAATGAATACGAATTGCAATGTGAGAAAATTAATTTATGATCCGGGATTTTTACATTTTCTATTATAAATTAATTTCGTCAAACATTCCATAATTTTTTCGTTTTTTGTGAGTGAAAAATATTTTTATAAAAAAAAAAAAAAAAAAAAAAAAAATGCTGCAAAAATTCCATGCTGGATATTGACGTTATTTAAAAAATTTTATACATGGAACAATAAATACTAAGGGACATAATTATCAGTGACATAGCCATATAATTAATTTTTTAAAGAGAATATTCACTTTTTTTTAAAATATAATTTAGAATTGAAATAAAAAAACCAGAAAAATTAAAATACAAATTTTTTTTACATAATTAAAACATTGAAAAAAAGGAAGTATTTTTTTTTAATAAATATTTTCTATTAATTAAAAATAAAAAAAAGTAGAGAAATTTTCTTTTTTTTTCAATGTTATGTCACTGATTTTCTAGTTTAAAAATATTTTTACACACTACTTATTAGAGTGGTCCAAAAAAATATCTTGGAAATTTTTAATTGATTTTTAAAAATTCTTTTTAATCTTTAGATTTTTTGAATTTTTTTTTTTTTGAACCATTCGATGTATTTTGGATGAGTCGGACAAATATTGTAAGATGTGATGGAACAAAAAAAATATATATATACATGATTGCGATTAAACAGCGCGAGCATATTAAATTAAAAGGGGTTGCTGTCTGAGGTGACTTACCCCTGGACAGTGTTTTGCCTAGTACATGGAATCGCACGGTAAATGTTGGTGTTTCTCCATTGTCTTTACTTGGCCCGACTTGCATGCTGTCCTATCGTTTAGCGGCACAACACACAAGACATTGTATACATAAAAGTAATAATAACTAGCAAAAATCGACGATTAAAAAAAAAAATACCCAAATCATTAATTTTAATTCTACTTCTCAAATTTTTATTATATTTAAATTATATTCCAATGTCTCGTTTTTCTCATTTATTTTTTTTTCAATAAATAAAAGAAAAATAATTTTACCAAAAATTTTTTTTTTTGCATTAAATTATTATCGTTTAAAAATTTCAATTTTTATAGCTAAAAACAGAATTTTTTATTTAAAAATCAAAAATAGAAATTTTTTTCTAATTTTTTCTCCCTTTTTAAGAATTAAGACTTGAGAGAAAGTTGAATAATATATATATAAAAAAAGCTCACAATAAAAACTATCTATGGATAAATTATTTGTAAATTTAAATAACGGTGTCTTTTTTTTTCTCTTTCTATGCAAAAATAATGACACAATATGCACGTTTAACGAGAGCAGCACACTTGCGAGATAATTTGGTATTCTCATCACAATTTACCTGCAGCTTGTATAATTTTTTTTTTTTTTTTTTTTTTATATATAGAGAGCTGAGAAATTATTCAGGGGGAAGAGAAAAAAAAATCTATACGTAATATCAAAAAAGTTAATAGAGAATCAATTTTTTTTTGTCACGTTATTGACACTCACCTGCAAAGCACCAGCGACCAGTTGCACGGGCAAATATGACGAGGAATATTGCGAGAATTAAAATCACCACTCCTATAACGATTCCAATAATTGATCCAGCGTCAAGGTCTACACCTGAAAAATTATAGAAGAATTTTAATTACTTTGCGGACAAAAAAAAAAAAAAAATTATATCCCTAATGAACAATTTTTACCATTTTGAAAATTATTAATGTAAATTATTACGTTCATTGTGGAAAAAATGTTTCTTTTCAAAAAGGAAAAAAAAATTTTAAATTAGAAAAATTTGTTTTCAATTAATTTTGTGGTTTAATTTTTCTTCATTCATTGAAATTAAAAAAAAAGATAACTAGCGAAAAATTAGCACAACAAACACGATAGCTTTTTTTCAGACAAAATTTTTCTTTTTCAAAGCAAACATTAAAAAGCTTGTTAAAAATAACGTTAACAAAAAAAAATTAAATAAATAAAAGAAATGACAGGAAAAAAAATTTCCTGTAGAAAATCCTTTCTTTTTTTTTGCAAAATCTGCGAAAATTAATAACACTGCACACAGAGATAAAAAGTTAATTAAACTATAGAAAAAAATAGATAAGCTCACAATGAAATCTTTATTTAACTTTGAAAAAAAAATGCAATTCAATTAAAAACCATCCCAACGATTTTGATTATATTTTTCATTGTGTTCTCATCTGAGTCTTCAAAAGGCTTTTTTTTTTCTCTCTCTCTCTCTACTTGTGAAAATATGTTTCATTTCTCTACATGAAATTTTCCTGTGAAAATTATGTTCACTTAAAAAAATATTGAAAATTTTATTTTAATTATTAAATTAAGACGTAAATAAATTAATTTACAATTTTTCAGGCGCTAAAAATTAAATATATTATAATTAAATTAATTTATAATTTAATTAATGATAACAATATATTTTTCTGTTATATAATTAGTATTTTGTAAAAAAATTAAATTGTTAAAAAAAAAAAAATTGAAAAATTATTTTTCACACGAAACTTTCATACAGAGAGTTATAAATGCTTGGAAATAAAATTGAAAAATGACATTACCTAGTGCGTGCATGTGTTCGGAGAGCTTACCATAGAAGTGACTTAAGGGTCCTGCGTGAGCATGCGAAAATTTGCCATTAGACAAAATCTCGAAATTTGCTCCGAAAAACAATTAATATTGTCATAAAAATTTTATCGCAATAAAAATAGATTTTATTTACTTATTTTTTCTTAAAAAAAATTTTCCATTTTTTTCTTTAATCGCTAAGACAGTGTTTTTTTTTTTATTAGAAAATCAGAATTTTTTTTTTCGACACTGAAATTTTTTATTTTTAGTTTAAATTGACTTCAATTTTCTAAACATTTGATAATAGTATTAAATTACCTAATTGTTAATAATTTAAATTAATAATTAATTTTTTATTATCAAATAAATATTTTTCTAAGTAAATTCGTGTAAATATTTTTAGTCACTGTTACTGTTACTGTTAGTCACTTATTGTGAAATAAGTGGTGGAAATATTTTTTTGAAAAAGTGCCGAATTGTGAAGAAAAGCAATTTTTTGTATTTGCGTCAAAAAAAGTGATTTCTGTGCATCACATTGAATAGGGATTTTTTCTATGAAAGCAAAAGAAAGAAAAATTCATTACCTGGTGGTTCAGCAGAAGTGGAAATTTTGATTTCATAAGTTTCAGTTCCTTCATTATTTTTAGCATTTAAAAGATATCTCTTTTCGGTGTCACTTTTTTGTACGCTGTCAATTGTCAAAATTGCGGTCCATCTTCCTTTTCCCTGAAAAAAAATTGATTTGATTAGATTTCGTTTTTTGATTTTTTCTCACATATTTGTTTTTAATAAATATTATTTAAGTGAATATTTCTTGTGTAGAAATGAAAAGAAGGAAAATGAAAATTAAAAATAAGTATTCAATAATGGAAATTAAATTAGCATGGAAAATATAAGGTTGCGCTACGTCACTCTTGACTATTTTGGACTGACATTTAAAACTATTGTTTGAATCCAGTGGAATTTCATTACAGTCTCACGAGAGGGTTTTGGAGTTTCACACACGACGACAGGGACAGAGTAGAAAATACGAGAATTGATACGGACTAAGGAACACAAAGAGAGAGAGAGAGAGAGAGGCAATATCAAATTTCAAGTCCCAACTTTATTCACATAGAGACAAGACTGTATTGTCAACCACAGGAATAAAAAAAAGGAAACTAAAAAGAGAATTTCAAATAAGAATTGACTGTTTGAATTTCAATTGTATCGAAAGAAGAAATTTTACTTACAGCTTCAATGGGAGTGTTTGTCTGAAGTCGATTTGTCGAGTCCGCGGCTCCTGCTTGAATTGATTCCGAATCCACGATCCACGTGAAATAAGGTTGAGGATTTGCCTCAATGGTCACGTTCACGACTCCTTGTTGTCCGACGACATATCCAAAACGCTCCTTCACAATTTGTGGTTGAGGTGGGACTATGGAAAAATAATTTTCATTGACAAAAATCTTTTTTTCTTCTATTTTTTTCATAAAAAAATATTAATTACCAAATGAACTATGGAAAAATAATTTTCATTGACAAAAATCTTTTTTTCTTATATTTTTTTTAATAAAAAAATATTAATTACCAAATACCAAAAAAAAAACAAAACATTAAAATTTTCTTAAAGAATAAAAAAATAATCAAAATAATAATTAGAATTTAGTAAAAAAAAATTTGAATTTGAAATAGAATTCCAAAAAAAGAAGAATAATGTAAATTTATTTTGTGGTTTTCTTTATATATATATACTTACAGGTGACATCGAGAGTCATTTGTGATTCTAGTGGTCGATCTAGAGCAATGTGAGTGGCAATGCATTTTACTTCTTTGCCATGATCGGTCCATTCTAAGCTTCTCGTGACGTTTTGCATACCCTGATCCGATTCTGAATTTCCAAAGTAAGACCTTTCTTCGCTACTCAATTTCTCATCCCCTGTGGGAAGAATAGATTTTCATTTTAATTAAATTTCCATTAAACATTAAAGTTACATTAAATATATTAAATTAATAAAATTCAACTAAATTTAAATTCTATATTTATTTTTCTCAATTTTATTATAATTATTATAAATATTTCTTTCATTTCACATTAATTATATCAGTGGTAAAAAATAATTTTTTTTTTCCTAGCTAAAAAAAAATTTTTTTTTTTATTGATTTTGGAAAAAAGAAACTCACCAAGATAAATGCTGACATTTGCTGATGGTTTTCCACCAAGTGCACTGCAGCTTATCTCCAATTTTTCCCCTCTTTTGTAACTGCGAATACCACTTGCGCTTGGACTCAATTGAAGTTGTGGTTGTCGAGGTGGTCCTGTAAATTAAAAAAATTTGTAGATTATATTTTTTTTAATATTACAAATGCAATTTATAATTAAATTTTCAGTTTTTTCATTTAAGATTTACAGAACAAACAAGAAATTAATTAACAATTAAAAAAAAAAAAAAAAAGATTTTCCAAAACAAAATTTCTATGCGAATTTAATTACAGAATAAATAAAGGTAATAAAATTGAAAATTTTCTGATAATATAATAAAATAAGGGGAAAAAAAACAAGTAATTTTTTTTTAATTGAATAAAAATTGCAAATTAATTGAAAATTAATTGATAAATTAAAAAAAAAATTAATAAATTTTTAAAAAATTAAAAATTAATAAATTTCAAAAAGAATTGAAAACTAATTGAGAAATTAAATAAAAAAAAAATTGAAAAACTAAAAAAGAAGAAAATTTTTTTCACTCACTTGCAATGACAATTTTTGTCTCTCCTGTCGATTCGTAACTACTGCCCTTTGGTAAAAGTGAACATCTAAAGAGACCATCGTTACTTTCTTTAATTCTTGAGATTAAAATATCACAGTCTCCTTTATCGAGTCCAGTACCAAGATATTTAATATCACCACTCATATAATTTTCAGTATTTGCAATCACCAATGATCCTTCATTTGGAATTTCAATTCGACAATGCGTTAATTGTGTTGGCATTCGGCATCGAATTCGTAAACTGTCACCAACTCGTACTGCAGCTTGATTTTTCGGTTCTATCTCAACTTTACCACCCAATTGCGCAGCTGAAAAAAAAAAACAACAACAAATTAATTAATATACAAAAAAATAAAATTTTTCTTAATTATATTTTTAATCATTAAATTATTATTAATTTTTTTAGCAAAAAATATTTTTTTATTCATTAAATTATTATTTTTTTTTTTTTACAAAAAATATTTTTTTAATTAAAAAAAAATATTTTTAATAAAAAAGAAATATTTTTTTAATAAAAAAAAAAAATTTTTTTTTATTTATTTTAAAAATATATATTTAAAATGTCAATGAATCTTTGCAGTGGAAGATTTTTAATTAATAACTTGATTATTAAATCTGAGAGCTAATGGTAGTTTTGAAATTTTGTCCTATGACTAAAAGTTACATTGTATTTTAATTGAGAATGTCAGGGCTCGATAATTAATTATCACGATGATATTATAGACGAGGCTTGACAAAGGGAATTTCATATGTTAAGGAGAGAGAGAGAGAGGGGGGGGGGGAATTTTATCGGTACACTAACCTAGTTATTAAAATCTCATCAACAATGTTCCACATTAGAAGATTAATTATCAATAGTACTATAATAGTAATTTCTTTTACATAATAATAATAATAATAATACTAATAATAATAATACTACTACTACTACTACTACTACTACTACTACTAATAATAATAATAATAATAATAATAATAATAATAATAATAATAATAATAATAATAATAATAATAATAATAATAATAATAATAATAATAATAATAATAATAATAATTATTATTACTATTATTATTATTATTATTTTATATTTTGTAAAAATAATTTTTAATGTAATAATTTATAATTATGATTGTTATTTTAAAAATTAATATCACTTTTTTCAGTTTGAAAATAATAATAATTTTAGTAAATTAAATTTTTTTTTTAATTTACCCCCTATGAATTTGTAATTAAATGAAAAAAGAATCACCGGAAAAATGAGTTTTCTCGGAAGACGTGTGCGGGAAGAGTTGAAGAAAAAAAAAAAATGATGAAGTAAAAGGGTTATGGTGCTGGGCACATTTTTTATTCCCCGGGTCCCAGGACAAATAACAGTCGAGGTAACTATCCAGAACGTTGAATGAAGAGAACAGAACTGGAAGGATATGTTTTTTTTTTCATTTTGTAAAAAAAAATAAAGTGAAAAAAAATATGGGAAATGAAATATTTGATGAGGTATATGAGTGCGAAAAAAAAGAATATTAAAAAAAAATGAATTTTTCAAGATCAAAGTACTTTTTCCTCTATATTTTGTTTATTATTTATTTTTTTGTATTTTTTGAAAACAAAATTTTCTCTGTTTATAATTAGGAAAATTATTATTCAATGTTCGGTAATTTATACTAAATATTGATTTTAAGTAAAATCTCGAATATATATATATATATATACATACACAAATCATCGCATCTGTTACTGTGGTTTTGTGCTCACATTAGATCGTGACGTCGCGTCGTCTCGATAATGAATTGATAGCTTCAAAATTTAATTAGAGAGTTACGATTCAATGATTTATTTTACTTTTTGTTTTCTCTATTTTCAGATTAAATTTTTTTTTTTTAATTGTTTCGTTATTTTTTTTTTTTTATGAATTTACCATAAATTATTAAATCCGCAGTATTTTCAAAGTTTACACATTTTGCATGAAATTGATTTAATCCAATTCGCTGAACAGCATCATCATTCTTATCATGAATAACACGTCATCGATTTGTTAAATACATTTAATATTTCAGTGAATTTAAATAAATCAATAATAATAAAAAAAAAATACGATAGGAATAATTTTAGCTGTATTGAAAAAAAAATTTATTTAATTCAAATTTACTCGATTACTTGACTAAAATAAATATTTACTTGAACCAAATAATTTTTTATTTTGTATTAAATAAATTTCGAAACAATAATTTTTGTATTTGAAACAAATATCTCAAATAATAATTATTTGATACAAAGAAATAATTATTTGATAACAATAAATAATTGTTTGATACAAATAAATAATTATTTGATACAAATAAATAATTTATTTGATACAAATAAATAATTTATTTGATACCAATAAATATTTATTTGATATAAATAAATAATTATTTGATATCAATAAATAATTATTTGATACAAATAAATATTTATTTGATAATACTAAAGTAATCGAATATTTGAATCAAATAAATTTTTTTTTTCCCAGCGCATAATCAACGAATTTAGAAGTAAAAAAAAAAAATTTTTTTCCTCCTTTCACATTATATTTATTTAAAACTGAAGTTTTAGGATGAAAAACAATTGCATCCTCATTTATGGAGTTTATCTTTGTAATTAAAAAAAAAATGTCGACACAATTTTATTTTTAAATTTCTTAAAAAAAATTTTTTAGTTGATGCGAAGCAAAGTCGGCATTAAAATTTAATCTAATAAAAAAAAGTTTCCCTTCGCTAGAGAAGAGCTACCTGCCCAGACCAATTATTTTCTCATTACAACACTTCGGTGTGTAAACCTTCATTTCTAACTTTGTTGATATTTTTGTTTTTTTTTTCCTACCCTCTTGGCAAAAAACAAATGCAAAATATGAAAAGAAGATGAAATTTTTAGAAAAGAGTTTTAAAAACAAAAATGTGAAACAATAACTTTTAGTTAAATTTTCTTAAAAATAAATAATATTTTTATAAAAAAAATAATAATAATTTTTATATAATAAAATTATTTTCAAGAAATTTATTATTTTATTTATTTAAATAAACAAATATAAAAAATTGAAAAACATTTTTTTATGCAATTAATTTATTTATTTAAATGAATGCAATTATTTTCTTTTTTTTAAATTGAGAAATAAAAGTTTTTTTTCATTTTCAAATTTTCATTAAATATATATGCAAAATGGCATTGTTTTCGAAGTTTATATATAAAATCGTGAGATTTTCCCATGGGGTATATTTTATTTTTAAAAAGAAAATACCAAATTCGATGCTTAAGCATTCAGAGATTAAAATTCTACAGCAAAATCGTCCATTTGAGGCGACTGTATTTGGCTCTTAGTTGAAAATCGTTTCGGTAAGTTGGGCAAACGAGAGGATTCCCCAGGCACAATAATCCCCCGTTTTTGGTTTGATATCTACTGTAATCTGAATTTCCCGGGGAAATTTGCAATTTTCCACACTGGCCTTGACTAAATATTCAATTGAATTTTTTCAGCGGTTTTTTATAAGAAAAAAAAATATAAACTCTTATTTATAAAATTATAATTATAAATTATATAATTATAAAATTATTATTATTATTATTATTATTTTTTTTATAAATTATAATTATAAAACTATAATTATAAATTATAATTATAAAACTATAATTATAAAATTATAATTATAATTATAATTATATATAATTTATTATATTCAAAAGTTAATATTTATTTTATTATATAGGTATTATAATTATAATTTATAAATGTAATTATAATTTACAGATTAGTCGGCTTCTTGTTAATTTTTCGTCTATTGTAAATTTGTAAAATTGGACGTAAATAAAAAAAAAATGCGTGCAACAGACAGTGTAGAAAATTGTATAAAGAGATAAAATAGGATTTAAAATATTTGAACAATTTAATATTTTGAAAAATAAGAAAATTCATGTCCTGTATATTTTTAATTTTTTTTCCAAGCATGAATATTACATTCCATGAATTCTTCGTTCCGGAGTTTTAATTCCCTGATGCGGAAGTTAACTTTTTTTTTGTATTTTATATGTATATATATATATAGAACAAGTAACACGACGAGAAATAATGAGGAAAATATATTCTTAAATATATATATATATATATGAACCCAGTAATTGTTTTTAGCCGTTTTAAAAATTTAAAAAAAAAATTGTATAATTTTGAAATTTTTTTCTACTTAAATTATTTGTGAGATTTTTATTATACAAATTTTAATTTATTATTTTTTATTTGGAAAATTAATTTTTTTTTTTCATAATCAAAAGTAAATATATATACTTTTCATTAAAATTGTATTTATTTAAATAATAATGGAAGTGTAATTTTATTGTTGGAAGCTTGACGATGGGAAAATATAAAAGAACTTTTGTGTTTCATGGGAAATTTCGAAATAACTAAATACGGTTAGTTCAGTTGTTCAGTGTACCGAAAGTGCAACGTTAACAGGGAATCAGGGTGGCGTGTAAACACATGATGTCACTGAAAGCATTGCAGATTTAGAGATGCCACTTTCAAAAGTCTCATCCCCATAGGAATGTCCAGTGGTTTTCACTGTGAGAAACTTCCTTCGTATCCTATATACATTACGTCAGCGTTTCTGGACCAGTCAATAATACAACAAAATGCCTTTTGTACTTTTCTTTCTTCTCAAGTATTTCCCATTCTTTTCAAATACCCGTATTAATAAAAAAAAAAAATTATTCCAGTATTTTTTATTTTATTTTTTTTTTTTTTGAATTTTTTTCTATTTATTTTTGTATTTGGCGATTTTAATTCACTCAGAAAAAAATTCGTTTGAAGCAACCAAATTTTGGTTAAATCAACAAAATAAATGCAGTTAACCAAACATTTGGTTGCATAAACCAAACGTTTATTTAGCTCAATCAAATTTTTTTTTTGTTCAAAAAATTTATTAAAATAAACCAAACAGTTATTTAGATCAAATAAATATTTATTTGAATTAAACAAAATTTTGCTTGAATTAACCAAAAAAAATTGGGTAAATATAAAAAAATGGTACATTTAGTTCAAATATATCTTTTTTCTGAGTGAAGGAATTGTAAAATCTAATAAATAATATAATTGAAGAGAAATGGTTTTTTTTTTGTTGCTGTTTCTTACAGGAACATCAAATTCGCAACTGCACCACTAATGTTTTATTTTCCCATATAGAAGAAAGGGGCTTGGTGGGTTTCAGTTTAACGAGTCTTACATCGACGCTCAGGCGCTCAACGCCCATTAAAGAGTATAACTTTTAGTATTACTGCAGTGTA